GAGCTACCCGCGCCCCTCAAAACATCAACTTACTCGCCCCTGCCCACGGCTCCTTCGCGACACACAACATACACACCGCAACGTCAAGTCGGAGCGCCGCTTGTGACCCCACCTCTCCTCCAGAACCACGACCTTCAGCCCAGTCATCGCCTGTCGCCCGCCCCGCCCCTCCACCTCACAGTGCCGGAGCACTGCCTCTCGTGCCACCCCCTGCCCGCCCCGCCTTCCAGCAGCTCTCTCCGGTCATCTCGGTCCCTTTTTCTGTCCGTAGAGCCCAATCGCATTCCCCGGTTGCCTTTCGACGCGCATAAACATCAACCTTCTCCTCTGAGCGGCGGCGTTTCTCCCGATTCCGGTTTACGCTTCTTAAACGTCCCACTCCAGTCTTTTACTTTCTTTCTTGTTTCTTTCTGATTTTTTCTGATGTCTTATACTTTTTTTTAGAAATTTTACTCCACCATTTTTTGTATTTCTAAACTCCAAAGTGTCTTCTTTAAATTTAACAAATATTTTAGTATACTTTACTCGTAGTGCTTTACTCTAGAGGTCTTCTTTTAACTTTTCACTGTTTTTTTATTGAAAATCATTTCCACATTTACTCAAATTAATTTAAAATATTGATTGTGATATCACCATTAAATTAATTTAACTCAGTGTCATTTGAGATTCGAGTCAGGAAAACTAAACATTTTTTAATGTGACCTCTCTACTGTAAGCTAAATTGTATACATGTTTACACACTATTTAAGGGCAGTCTTAAATAGCATCATTTGAGAACTTGTTGAGAGGAAGTTTAGTCTGGCAACCAAACGCCATATCTACTCCGAAAACTTTTCAAACTCTTTGTAGATACAGAGATGAAAAATAATTGTATAAATGAACATGATGAAATATATGTTCATTAAGCAATATATCGTAAACACATTACATATGTGATATTAATTTAAGCAGATAATATCTTAAAGGGTGGAAAGTATGCAATATTACATCCCGGGAACAAATAAGAACCGAGAATGAGGATAAAACCCTTAAATATGAATGCTTCTGTAAACTTTCTATGTTGGATGTAAACGATATATAGAGATTCCACTTTTATATTCAGAAAGAAAAAGCAAATCGATTATCTCAGTTACATTACGTAAGTAATATAGCCAGCAATCAATGAAGATTTTACTTCAACGGAAAAGGAACTAAGCAACATCATTTATTGGGAGTTACTGTATTTATATCATTCATTTCCTTTGGATCAACTTGTGTCACATTAAACTCCCAATTCACAATTTCAAAGGAAAATGCTGCAGAGATTAATTGACAGGAACATTTCTGATATGAGTGAAAATTAGAGTAGCAGCACAGCACAAATCCTGTGCTACAAAACCACACAAATGTTTTTCCCGAAAAGGAGAACCCTGCTTTCAGGTCAAAATAAAATGCTCTCGAAATAGCCAGTTGCAATTAAATTAAATATTATTAACAAAAAACAGTCTTCGCGAATACTACAATAACGGAACACATATGTTATTATCGTTCAGAACGAACAGTTCTTTACGTAGCAAATATAGAAAGTAACCATCGACCATGGAGATCGTAGCAATAACGCTCGTGAGTGTGAGAATTTAGTCCGGGCGGCACGTTTGTGAATAGGTTGGAATAACAGCATCAAGTTTTGTGCCATTTTCAGTTCAAAATCCAATTTTTCATGATTTTTGTATTTTACTTGATTCCACATTATCTAACAAAATCACACAGACAGGCTAAAGCTTCATGAATTTTCTCCCAATTTCTTCGCGTACGGGAAATTATAAATAAAAATATCAAACATAATGTAGATGTTCTAATGGTGCGGTTTGACTTGGAACGGTTGCAGCTGGCGAGAGTCGAGGAAGGGGCCGGAAGAGAGAGACTGCTGGATCAGCAACTGATGAAACGACCCCCATGACCTCGCATGACCTCTTTTCCATCTTTCCAGCAGCGTTTTTATCCTGGGGAGCCTCCTAGGGTGGATAAGCTCTGTCTTTAAAAAGTCTTAGTCTTTTCACAAAATAGTATTTCGCACTACATTCGCAGTATTAGCTATATTTCGCAGTATATTTAAAATAGTGAAAATTCTGGTGCACGTTTCCTGCTGTAAACGTTCCAGAAAACATCGTACTTTCGGTAGAATATATCTCTATTTAAATTGCTAGATATACTTTGCGAGAAGTTTGTTTCCTGGCAACCAAACGCAAATAATACTCCGAAAACTTTTCAAACTTCTTTGTAGGTACAGATATGAAAATAATTGTATAAATGAACATATGAATATATGTTATTAAGCAATATCGTAAACACATACATATGTGATATAATAGCAATAATATCTAAAGGGTGAAAATGAGAATTACATCGGAAAAGAACGATAAATAGAGGGATAAAACCTAAATGAATGCATTGTAAACTTTCTATTTGAGTAAACGATATATAGAGATTCCACTTTTATTTCAGAAGAAAAAGCAAATCGATTATCTCAGTTACATTACGTAAGTAATATAGCCAGCAATCAATGAAGTATTTTTACTTCAAGGAAAAGGAACTAGCAACATCATTTAATTGGGAGTACTGTATTTATATCATTCATTTCCTTTTATCAACTTGTGTCACATTAGAACTCTCAATTCACAATTTCAAAGGAAAATGCTGCAGAGATTAATGACAGGACATTTCTGAGATGAAGTGAAATATTAGAAGCTAGCAGCAGCACAAATCCTGCTGTACAAAACCACACAAATGTTTTTCCGAAAAGGAGAACCCTGCTTCAGGTCAACAAATAAAATGCTCTCGAATAGCGTTGCAATAAATTAAATATTTTAACAAAAACAGTCTTCGCGAATACTACAATAACGTAACACAGTATAGTTTATTATCTTCAGAACAACAGTTCTTTACGTAGCAAATATAGAAAGTTAACCACTCGACCATGGAGATCGTAAGCAGTAACGCTCTGAGTGTGAGAATTTAGTCCGGGCGCCGTTTGTGAATAGGTGAAATAACAGCATCAAGTTTGTGCATTTTTCAGTCAAAATCCAATTTTTTCCATGATTTTTGTATTTTACTTGAGTTTCCAATTATCTAACAAAATCACACAGAAGGAAGCTTCATAATTTTCTCCCAATTTCTTCGCGTACGGGAAATTATAAATAAAATATCAAATAAATGTAGATTCTAATGGTGGGTTTTGACTTGGAGATAAACAAGTAGTGTTCCTCCCGAAATACAGGCATATAGTTCGGAATAGATCCGGAGAAATTGATATGAATCGAAGATAATTAATTGTCTCATATTCAGACTATTTCTTACGTATAAGTTTAAAGTTGTGCGCAGAAAAGATGTTAATTATAAATAAAATTTATATACAACTCGTGGTGCTACACAATGGTACAAATTTTCTTGCTTTAATTAGTTTTCTAATCTTTTTAAGCTGGGCTTACATTCCGGTATTGCCCCACCTCCTTTCCAGCTGCTACCTATCGACGCCCAAATAAAATTTTGTATCGTTTTCTTAATTTTTCGGTCTTCTAATAGAATAAATATATATCTTTAAGAATATTACAGGATAGTAAAACAGTTCTGTATGCAAATATTCAATGGAAATTTTAGAGCCATTCTTGAGAAAATGATCTTCGAACGATTCTGAAACTGCGTATTTTTAAGCTTTTTTTCACCGGCAATTTTTGAGTTTTCAAAAGCCTTCATGAGAAATCATTTGAAGCACTTGTAAACACAAATGCAGTAATGTAAAGTATTGCCTGTAATGTAAATATTAATGACGAGTTTAAAAAAATCTTGTGAAATTAAACAAAATCAAAATAAAGGGTAACTTTTGTAATATCCGAAATTTGAGATATTTGAACAAAAGTCAGACCTGCGGCAGGTTTGTAAGCGGTCTTCATGCTATACGAGGTTAAAATGTAATTTGAAAAATTGGAACAATTTTTAAAAAAAACGAAAATGTCATTGTAACGTAAATGTTCTTGTAACGTAACCCTCAAAACGAATACATCGGTCTCAAATTGAAGAAGCCACATCGTTTGAGGAATGTCAGTTTTGGTGAAAATCTTGCTTACAGTTTAGTTGCCAGCGTTGTTTAAACAGATAGACGTTTTGCCATCCACTAATTTTTCGGTATTTTTTCGGTATTTCGGTAGCTCTAATGTAAATTATGAGTTCAGAACGTGTTAGAAGAAGTAATTTGCTACACATAGGAACATCCCTCAACTTGTTCGGTGTCGGGAACCTACAATACAATTTTTTCTGTCTAAAAATTGTCTTTTTTGGCCGCAGCGTTACATGATTTTCTCTATACTACATATGCAGTATACGAGAAAGTAAATTTTTTTAAAAAATGATATCACGATTTCCTTTGCTGACGGTTAAGGCTCTTCTGTCTGCAGGGCAGGTTGTTTTGAGCGCTCCGCCCTTTAGAAGCTTTGTGCTGAGCGGTCGGCGCGTTGCCAGCAGGGGCGCCACGGCACATCACGTTCACGGACAGGCAAAAACCGCTTCCGAGAAGCTCACGAAGTTACTGGGAAGCAGCTGAATGCAGTGTGCAAAATATACAGGAGAGTTTGCTCAATGCGTTTCGACATTATATCTCTCACCTAATAAATTGCACAGAAAAACAACTGGCATTCTGTATGATCATTGAACGTGATAGCCTCAAAATCCTTCGTAGTGCATGAATCTTAATTTTTGTGTTATAGTATTACGTGCTATAATTCTGCAATTTCTTCTTGCAATAAGCATTGCAATAAATTTACGGTAACGAGTGAGTCAAAACCGCTTCCAGAACTCTGAAATCAGCAGTACGATACGTGGTGTGCGATATTCTGTTATCGAGACACTTAATAGTTTTAAAACATTAACGGGCAAAGCCTAAGAAGTACAAAATAAGGCTATAAAGCTGATAGAATGAGGATATGCGTCTGACTCTCATGTCATATAACAAATGAAAATAACCTTACCTTTTGCAGGATATGAACCCATAGCCTTCGTATAACGCGTTTTTGCGTGCGTCTGCTCCATGCTCCTAACCCAGGAAGCCACCTGGATTAAAGAGTATATTATGACATTTAAATTGTAACATAAAAAGTAAAGTATCAAAATATTTGATTTGAATATTGAACATGTTATTGTCATTTATTAATTCGATATTTTTATCATTACCAGAAACGCATAAAAACCAAGAGAAAAAATACTTTCTCATTGAATACATATTTCAATGTTTAATAAATGCATATTTAACATTTGTTGGAATTCTACACGTTTCTTCCAATAATTTCTCACATTTTTTCAAGTTTTCTCCCTAATGTTATCGTTTTTTACACATGGTCATGCATTTTTGGACAAAGAATGAAAAGTTAAAAACTTAATTGGTTCCATTTAATGAATTCAAATTAGAGAATTTATATACATTTGTTGTTTCGTTCATTACAAATTTTAGTATTCCTTTCTGCAGTACCAATCAAAATGGCTGTGCAGAATACAAAGTGAAATATCTCGTAGCTTGTGCCGTAAATGCAATCATGCCAGTGAGCGCATAAATTGGAAAATGAAATAGTATGAAATTTGTATTACTCCTCGTTCGGTTTAGAATAAACAGAGATCATAAGCATAACACGTTTTTTTAAATAAGCGTGCCAAACTTTTTCACATTCCGCCAATTATTGTCTGTAAGCTAAAGGAAATTATATGGTAGCTACTTATTCAAAATCTTCATTAACAAAGCATATACCGCATATTTTGGAAATAATACAATTAGATCTTTAACAGTGAACTGGATAAATATGTTATAGTAAAAATAAGTATGGTAGAGCATATTTCGTCCACAAATGAACAAAGACAAACATTTTCAATAGTGATAAGATATGCGAAAATGCTAAAAAATACAAAGGGCAGTGAAGTGTTCTTATTTTCCCGGACGAAGTAACTTTAAAGCAGACTAAAAGGGACGTTGTCATCCTTCAAGTTAGGGACGCATGTTCGCATCCAACCCGCCCCCGAGAGAAACCGCTGCCGGTCGGCCACTGCGCTCGGAATGCCGCGCAATTAAGGCCAACCGAGCGCTGTAAGACAACACCAGGGCGGGGTGGGGCGGGGTGGGGCGGGGCGGCACGGGCAACGCGGGACACAGGCAGAGGGGACAACGGTCGAAGCGCCGTAGCGGCAGAGAGAGCGAAATCAGGTCTGTTCTACTCGTAGTACTGACATTTGCCTCTGGACCTCGTAAGGAAAGGAGCCATGATGCCTTGCAGATAGACCACGTTTCCCTAGCGTTAGATGCACGCAATTGCAGCAGCCACTAGTCCACCTCAACGTCTTAGACCGGGTATGACGGGATGTGTTAGGACTCGGCATTGGGAGAGATAACAGCTACTAAATAATTACGGGAAAGGAATGGAAAGGAAGGAAGGAAGAAATAGGCGCGGTCCGTTCCTCATAGTGGGTGCAGATATGGAATTCATCTGTAAGTGATTAAGGGAACTACGGAAACCACAGGGCTTACGAATTCTATTACGGAAGGCGCCACATACTCACCGATGTTAAACACAAGTGAATTTCTGGTATCTTACCGGAATCGAACCCACTCACTGACGCCTTGAAGGTGAATCAATATGTAATTCGTTAACACTAGAAAATAGTGAGTCAGTTGGAAAAGTTGCGAAAATAGTGGGGACCAGAGGGAAAAAACGGAGTGCTGCTACTGGTTTTAAAAGAAGTTAGTCTAACGGAAAATCATTGAACCTTTCCCTTCTCGAAATGAAAGTGTAGAAAAGTCTAGCACTTCAAAACTGATGCGTTAATGTTCCAATAGCAAACCTCAGGGAAGGAAGAAGTTGGGGCAACGTAAAAAAGACAATGTTTTGAGTAGGATCTGCAGTGTTATCATTTTGCACTTACGTTTAATTTATTGCTCCACATCAGAGTAATGTTTTTGCATAACTTTTCCAAAGTTGATCTACAAATATTGAAGACTAGAACTCTTCCAAGCAAACTCAAGCAACTGACTTCGTTTTTGTTACCTATAACCATCTCAATCATCTAAAATCTATTAAAAATCTGAAATGACATTTAATTCAAAATGGTTCCATTTAATATTAAAACACTAAAGGGCACAGTAAGTTATTATTCACACAGGCGTCATATAATTATGTGAAGAGCATGTTATAATATGATATGAAAAGCGGGATTTGTGAAATACCTCGAGAAGGTCTAAAAGATTTTGTCTTTTTACATTCCCCAAGGAGAGGGATGAATGTGTTACCTATCCGCCGATAAGAAGGCGAGACCATTTCTGTTGCTCCAGAGTCATCCTGACGGGTGAAGAGCTGCCCTTATTGGCTGAAATGACTGAGTGAGTGAGAGTGAGCGAGAGTGAGCGAGAGTGAGCGAAAGTGAGCGAGAGGGAGCGAGAGGGAGCGAGAGTGTGTGAGAGTGAGAGTGAGAGTGAGAGTGAGAGAGAGTGAGTGAGTGAGTGAGTGAGTGAGCCAGCGGATGGATTCCGGGCCTTCAGTACTCAGTCACTCATTATTTCCAAAGTGCAATGCGTCTTATATACTGAGAGACTGAGTTATTTCTCCTCCACTGGGAGTAGGAAATGCAGCGACGACCTCTTTGGCCGCTTGTAAGGTTATTCCCTTTCAAGTAACTACACAGCAGGGCACCGTTCTATGCTCCCGATTGGTGTTGCGACGTGTGGCGGTGAATATATAGTGAGTGTGTGGGTGAGCGAACAGGAGGAAGAAAGTATCGAAAAGGGAAAGAAAATCTCGCGCAGTTCGTGACAATTTGTTAGGAAATGTCTACGGTATTCGCCTGATATTGGTAATAAAAAAACACGGAAAAATACTCATGAGAGCAACCCGGAATTCGTCTTTAGGCAGTCGTTAATTTTGATCCAGCGATGTGGCTATTTTCGAAAATCCACTGTACTTACACCCTAAAAACTGCCAGTCAACGAAACTGGAAAGGCAACGCTGTTGCCGAATTGGCTAGAACGTGTATTCAGTGCAGATCGATCTGTGCGGACGAGGTGGGCCACGTTCGCGAACGCAGCCTGCAATAGCATGGCAATGGCAGGAAGGCACGGGCTAGCGGTCGCGTCGTTTGCGCTTACGACTAAGAGCTGCCCTAAAACGCACCGAGCCGTGCAGTAAACACCAATTTACAGAGGCAGATACAGACGGAAGCTACGTGCGCTACTTACTAACACTCGAATTGTAGGCGTCGCCTGTTGTTTACTTGCTTTGCGACCTCCTTGCTGCCTGAAATGAATTAGCGCAAGGCCCGTAATGAATTTCGAAAGTGGCTTTCAGTATCTCTGCTGTCGGAGTTGTGCAGAGAACTTCCTGATAGACGGTTGTTTAATCTATCATCATTATCATCTTGTCATGTCGTATCTCTTGTACTTTAGGTCTGAAAAGGCACAGAGACCTAACTGGCAGACAAATTTCTGGACAACACAAATTAGAGGCATAACCTTGTATATTAAAATTAGATATCACTGCCACTCATGAAACATTGGAAAAGGAAATTCGTTAGTGTGACCTTCATTTGACGTTAATTTCTCTTTCATATTCATTTGTATCGTTCTATTAAATCTGAAAATGTAGCGTTACAGTTTAATTAATATTACTTTTCGGGGCGTTAGTTGTTCTTTAGATGCCCCACTCCTTTCACACTTTCGTCTGCAACTTGACTTGATTGGTATTCATTTTTTTCACTTTTATTAATTGTTAAATCAATTACGGACAAAAATATTTTAAGATAGAAAGACGATAATGACAAAATGAGATTGCATTGTAGTAGAACTCTTTAGACGAAACTAAGTGTTTCCCATTAGTGCGGCCTTTTGTCTCCTGCACAGATATATTTTCTGCCCCTTTGAAAGACATACGTGACAAATTCCTCATGCAATGAGATACCGAAAAGAGAACTTACATCGATCAACAGAGCACAATTGCCCATTTCTAGAGAAAATGAGATTGATAAACAAACATGATAGTCATTGTATAAAATGAAATATTGCCACTAATTTAACGTTAATGGGAATAGGATAAAAATTGCAAGTCATGAGTAGCCGAGGACTATGTGAACGAAATGGACAAATTCTGCAAAGGCAAGTGTTGGTGATCATTGGTTCTACAAAGAAAGCAATTCCAAGTCTGGAATTTCAAATTTTTTCAAAACTTTTTCTACGTTTTTTTGAAACTATTGGACGAATTGACTGATTTATTAAATAATTCATCCCGAATGGATTGGTTTTACCTTATAGACCCCAACGAAGTAATCTGTACGCCCCTTTCAGTCAAAACCTCACGACTCTTCATGAGATCTCACGAATCTTCAAATATCGAAGGAAACGTTAACCAATTCTATCTGAAGCACCATCGATAACCACAAATTACCAACCCCGCGACCTGCTTTCGGCTTGCTATATAAGTATCAGAGCATTGGTCAATTCAAGACGACGGAGACAGTGGTGGAAGCGGAGGCGGAGGCGGAGGAGGAGGTGGAGATGGAGATGGAAATGTAGGTGGGGCGGGGGGTAGATGGAAGCAGAGAAGGGTACGGAGACGGAGGTGAAGGCAGAGGCATGGATGGAAGAGGAGGAGACGGAGGCGGCTATGTAGACGTAGAGGAAGACGTAGACGTAGAAGGTGACAGAGATGGAGGAGGAAAAAGAGGAGGAGAGGGAAGAGACTGAGGTGCCGAAGGTAGAGACTCGGGTAGAGACTTGGGTGGAGGTGGAGGCGGAGGCAGAAACAGACGAAAGCGGATTGGCAAGCGGAAGCGGTGGCGGAATCGGAGACGAAGGCGGAGGTTGTGCGAGGACTGGGGCAACGACGGAGGCAGGAACGGAGACGGAACCCAAGCGGAGGCGGGTACGGGGGCAAGGCGTAGTGAACGACGCGGGGGCGAGTGCAGACGCAGTGAGCGGCGGCGGGAGCCGTGGGGTGGGGGTGGGGGTAGCGAGGGCGGTGCGTCCTGCGTGGTGGCCCGCGTCGCAAGCGGGCGGGCGGCCGCAAGCACGCCGAGTTTGCGGA